CTGGGGATTCGAACCCGCCACCTTAGGTGTACGTGGCTGGCGCCTTAGCCGGTTGAGCTATAGGCGTCGAGCCCTTTTTCTTTTTTTTTTAAACCAAGTTATGATACAAGTGATTACCCCTTTCCTTTCATTTTCTTTATATTGTACTCTTATGTTTATGAGTTTATACTGTTTTCTTTTTAGGTTTAGATAAAACTAGCTATAAGTTGGCTTGACACCTGTAGCTCAGCAGCTAGGGTGCTGGCCACATACAGAGGCTGGTAGGTTCAAACCCGACCTGGGCCTGTCAAACAACAATGGCAACTACAACAAAAAAATAGCCAGGTGTTGTGGCAGGTGCCTGTAGTCCCAGCTACTAGGGAGGCTGAGGCAGGAGAATCATGTAAGCCCAAGAGTTTGAGGTTGCTGTGAGCTGTGACTCTACGGTACTCTACTAAGGGCAACGTAGACTGTCTCAAAAAAAAAAACATTTAAAAAACTAGTTATAAATTATTAAACCTGATCATTTAATTAATAGGTAAATTGTATACAATTAAATGAATACGCAAGGGTGATGCATTAGCAGCCAGGAGGAATAAATTAAAGTTGAGCAAATTTTCTTTTTTTTTTTTTTTTTTGAGACAGGGCCTCAAGCTGTCGCCCTGGGTAGAGTACTGTGGCCTCACAGCCACCTCAAACTCTTGGGCTCAAGCGATTCTCTTGCCTCATTTTCCCAAGTAGCTGGGACTACAGGCATTTGCCACAGTGCCCTGCTATTTTTAAGTTGTAGTTGTCATTGTTTGGCAGGCCCAGGCTGGATTCAAACCCGCCAGCTCCCATGTATATGACTGGCACCCTAGCCTCTTGAGCTACAGTTGCCGAGCCAAAGTTGAGCAAATTTTAAGCATTAGATTGGATATAAATTCTTTTCCTTTTTTCTTTTTATTTTATTCTATTTTTTTTAATAGACAGAGTCTTGCTCTGTTGTTCAGGCTAGAGTGCAGTGGTGCAGTCTTAGCTCACTGCAGCCTCAAACTCCTAGTATCCAGCAATCCTCCTCCCTTAACCTCCTGCCACCATGGCCAGCTAATTTTTGTATGTTTTAAATTTATTGTACAGACTGGGTCTCCATATGTTATCTTGACTGGTCTTGAACTCCTAGGCTCAAGGAATCTTCCTGCCTTGGGCTCCCAAAGTGCTGAGATTACATACAGACTTGAGCTACTACACCTGGCTAGATATAGATTCTTAGTTAGGACATAAATTTGTACAGACTAGCTCTTTATTACAAATTTTATACTAACCTATTGAAGTAGAAAAATAGTAGTAGTGTTTAATGGAGCAGATTATTCCCTAGAATTTTTTTTTTTTTTTTGAGACAGAGAATCACTATGTCACCCTAGGTAGAGTGCTGTGGCGTCACAGCTCACAGAACCTCAAACTCTTGGGCTTAAGCGATTCTCTTCCCTCAGCCTCCCAAGTAGCTGGGACTACAGGTGCCCACCACAACACCCTAGAATTTTTTGTGATTCTGTGGTTATGCATTTTCTTCGTCTTGAGGAAAGCTAGAATATTCACAAGCTCAGTTTGAGCTCAGTGGTTTAAATTCCAAGTTGTTTTGATATTTGAGAATGAGAAAAGTAAAGTTCTTGATTTTTTTTTTTCTCCCCATTTTAGTGCCATTCTCTCTTCCTACTTTCTAAGTGAAAGACTGAATCTGCATGGGAAAATTGGGTGTTTGCTGAGTATTCTGGGATCCACAGTTATGGTCATTCATGCTCCAAAAGAAGAGGAGATTGAGACCTTAAATGAAATGTCTCAGAAACTAGGTGATCCAGGTAAGAAAAAAGAAAAGCTTCATTAGTTTTACTTCTTAGTTTTGAGTATAATCAGAATTTAATTTGCTTACAGAGAGATAAATGTCCTAGTCCTATATGGCTTATTATAACAAATAGTAGTCAGGTTCCCCACTACCTCCAGCCCTTAGCCTTTCATTTCTTTTTTGTTGGTGGTGGTGGCACCTGGCACTACAGGCCCCTGCTATAACACCTGGCTATTTTGTTGTTTTTGTTGTTGCAGTTTTTGACTGGGGCTGGGTTTGAACCCACCACCTCCAGCATATGGGGCTAGCACCCTACCCTTTTGAGCCACAGGCGCTGCCCCACCTGGCTATTTTGTATTGCAGTTGTCAATTGTTTTTTAGTTGGCCCAGGCTGGGTTTGAACCTGCCAGCCTGGGTGAATGTGGCTGGCACATAACCCTTGTGCTACGGGCGCCAAGCCTATATTAAAGTTTTTGTTTGCTAATGCCGGTGTCAGGATTTTGGTGTCCCTGGTTTTATTTTTATACTGGTTTATTTTTTCTTTCAGCTTTTAGGCATTTATTTTTTTCTTAGCCATTTTTTATAAAGGGGGCAAGAGAGGAAAGAGTGTCCTTTGTCATTTTTGATTGAATGCCTGACATAGGCTATTAAAAAGTATAAAGGTTCTAAGCGAGGTGTTTTTGCTTCAGAGAGAACTTAAATTTCTTCTGGTAGGCAGATAAAAGCACCATAGTCACCTTGAAGGTTTTGTTAATGAAGCTTTATTGGGTCTGGTTTCTTTCCAGTCTGCCTTTGTTTTTGTTTGTAGCTCTCTGGCTCCCAGCTGATTGCAGGATCTGAACTGGGGCCTGCTACCTGGCAGCAATGAGCTCTAGCACCTGCTTCTTAGTCAGATGAGACCCCTGAAATCCTGCCCAGCCCCAAGTGTCCTCTGGACAAGCTTTCCAGCTTGTCTCCTGTGACTGTGGCTGTGTAGGTTGGTGCCCACAAACGCTGTAAGGGCAAGTGACAGAGGAGTGTGGGCTCCCTGCTGTCCCCCTCTCTCTGGATCCTGGCTCATGAAGTCGCAGCTACATAGGCAACCCCAAATTCCAGCTTATTCCAACTTGTTTTTACCTAGTCCACTGAAAATGTCACAAGTTTGCCCTTTTTGCTCATCTTTACCCCTGCATGGAGGCAAAAGTAGAAGTAAAACTTGGGCCGATTTTTCTCCATTGCTGAATTTTGGTCCCTTAAGTCCTGGGTACTTTGATTACTCTTCGGGGCTCTCAAATAAATGTTTCTTTTTTGTTTGTTCAGGGTTTTTTTTTTGTTTCATTTTTGTATTTCATCTGTTCTTTGTGGTCTTGGGTGCAGGATTAGTCTGCTGTTTCCTCATTATCTCTGAGATCTTCATGGTCATCTTTCTTGTCCTTAGGAGGCACTTTATGTACTTGGGGCTGTTCACTTGAAAACTTTCTTTGGCTACACAGGAGAAGCAAAGGCTGTGCATGTTCCCATTTGTTTTGGTCTCTTATCCTGGTGGTCTTTGCCTTCTCTCTTTTTTTGAGACAGTCTCAAGCTGTTGCCCTGGGTAGAGTGCTGTAGCATCACAGCTCACAGCAACCTCCAACTCTTGGGCTCAAGCGACTCTCTTGCCTCAGTCTCCTAAGTAGCTGGGACTACAGGTGCCTGCCACAGAGTCTGACTACTTTTTGTTGCAGTTGTCATTGTTGTTGAGGTGGCTGGGGCCGGGTTCGAACCCTCCAGCATTGATGTATGTGGTAGAGCCCAGCTCTACCCACTGGGCTATGGTGCTGCATACTTTGCCTTTTCTTATGTAGCAATTTGGCAGGTCATATTCCTACCCAAAAAGCTTAGTTTCCTGCGGGGCTGTGGGCATCCAGCGAGCTGCATCAGGAGTAGCTGATGCCCACATGTATGTCTCACCCTGGCTTGGAATGCCCCCGTGGAGACACTGTCTGCTGAGGCAGGGGAGGTATAATCTCTGGAGCTGGACGGGAGTCTCATTGCTTCCTGAGTGGACTTTACACCTTTTGAACATCTTTTGCTGTATGCTGAGTCACTGTCAATCTTTGATCACTGCTGGTACAGGATTCGTCCTTGGATCTGCTGTGTCAGTCACTAGTTACTCTCTGCTTTCTGGCTGACAAGCTCTTGTTCCTGTCATCTTTGCTCTTACTGTTTCTGTGTATTTGCTTCTTTAAAAATCCAGTTACTGGGGCAGCACCTGTGGCTCAGTGAGTAGGGCGCCAGCCCCATATACTGAGGGTGGCAGGTTTGAACATGGCCCCAGCCAAACTACTGCAACAACAACAGCAATAAAAAATAGCTGGGTGTTATGGCGGG